ATTTCTCGGCAATTTTCGTTGTGGTGAAAATTGCACTTGTTGCATTTAGGGAGGGTACCAGCATAGGGCTTAGTTGGTGCAAGGTTATTAGGGACAGCAGCAGGTATAGCAGTGGGTATGGTAGCAGGTACAGTAGTAGCATGGACTGCCACTACTTGTTGCTTCTTTGCAGGTTCCAGAGGAGATTTTCCCTTCCTCTTGTTCCAACCCTTCTTCTTGCTGCTGTTGTTGTTGTTCTCCTTGGGTTGTTCTGGAGCAGAAACCACAGAATTTTGACGGGCTCCGTGGTCGATAAGAGATTGTGCCAGCTCTTTGGCACTGTCAAAAGTAATAGGCTTTGAAGCTAAAACACTTGACTGAATTTGGGGTGACATACCCCAAATATATCTCTCAATCTTTTTGCTCTCCATAGGAACCATATCCGGACAAAGAATTGCCAGATCACAGAACCTACTGGTATAGGTTGATATGTCAGAACCAACCATTGTAAGAGCCCATAGTTCTTGCTCCAGTTTCTGTATCTCCCCTCGCGGACAGTATTCCCGCATTAACATGGATTTTAGGCTCTCCCAGCTGATGGAGTTAGCCACTACTAGAGTAAGTGACTTAATGTGGCCATTCCACCACGTTAGAGCCCTATCAGAAAAAGTACAGGCAGCTTGCCTGCCGGTACAGGCAGCAAATTTAACTTTGCTACCCTCCGGACAGAGTAAATTTCAAAGATTGCTCCGTCTTCTCAATCCATTGTCTTAGTGCCATAACCCCCCAGTCCCATTAAAGGTCCTGGGTTTGGCATTAGAAAAATCCTTATAAGTGCATTCTCGCGAATGCCCATGACTTTCGCCATGGTTGGAAGGATGTGCACCAACTCCCGACCTACTAACACCAGGAGTATGAATATGAGACATGGCAGCCGCTACAGCCGCCGTGACCGCCGCTTGAAACATAGTGGGGTCGAATTGAGGAGGTGGTGGTGGGGGGGGTGGCGTCGGTGCTTCATTGATATTGATACGTCTTGGATTTCTCTACGAGGAGAGCTCTTTGCTATAAAAGTCAATAGATAAAAAGATAGTGAGATATCAAGAATGAATATGAATTTGATATTTCTGAACTAAACACTTAATTCAACATGAATTTTACAAAGAATTGGAAATAGAAATCCACTGCAAGTACAACTTGCAATAGGATCATATGAAATTGAATGGTTATTTTTCAAAGAGTATGAATGTACATGTCGACTGTATTGGTATATTAAGTGTATGTAATCTGGAACACTTGACCTTAAAGCAGGATTATAATATACCCCAATACTGAGAAAGTGTCGACATCAAACCGACCTACCAAAAATAACATTTATGCGCTCGTATTGAAAGCATGAAAAATAACACTGGAACATTTCTGTGATCCAAAACTTTGGAATAGGATGTTTATGAGAATTGTACTAACTCTTGTTGAAGTAAAGTGCTTATTGTTTTATTGATACTCGGTTTTGTACATATCGTGAAAAGTAGTATATACATTCGATATAGAAGGTAGAAAGTAGAAGTAGTCTGAACACTACGTGCGGCGACTTCTACGACGGTTGCTAGGTTCCGCTTCGTCTTGTGCTTTCCAGCGCCTTTCTTGGGCAGCTTTATGCTCCCTCAGTTCTCTTATCTCTGATTCAGCAGCATTAAGTTGCCTTTGAAGGCTTCAGTATGGTGTTGGGTGTCATCTTGCATTTCGTCAAGACGAAGGATATCTGTAGTGTTAGCCTGCGCAACCGCATTCACCTCTAGGATCTAATTGATCGACATCCTTGATTGATCGAATTGTCGGGCTATTCGATTTACTATAACTGCAAGAGCTCTGTCGGCTGTTCCTCCTCTTGAGACATTATAGAAACCTCGTGTCATTCCGTAGGGAGGGCGTTGACTGTCTTGTCGACTCTAATAATTTATGTATTGGCCCCACTCAGGTATGGATTCTGCTTCCTCTTGCCTCGGGGGCGCTCCCCAGGGTTGCATGTGACAACCCGAAATATTTTTGCCTTCTAGCCTTGAAAAAGGTCATTCTAAAGAGTTTTAAGCCTAGTACACTTAAGGAATGAGTGTTAGAATGTACCTGCTAGAGACACTGTGCAACATTCAAGCCTTAACACCACCAAAATGGAGTTCACGGCCAAAGAACATAGAGTTTATGGCGTGGCCGTAAACTCACCCCTATATATGTAAGACTTGGCCATTTCTTCATTCTTTTCCTTTCCTTGGCCGAAATCTCCCATTCTCTCTCAAGTATCATCGAGATTTCACTCCCGATCTTCATCAAAGGGCCTCCAAAGTGTGAGTACTCTTCCCCTAACTAAGTTGTATGCTAGAAACACTTGATCTACACTTTGAAATAATCAAATTCTCAAGAACAAAAGGAGTTTACGGCCAAGAGCATCTCCCTTGGCCGTAAACCCCTATAAAGGTGCCATTTGAGCCATAAACTCTTCCTAAGGCTTGGATTTGAGGCTAGAACACTCCCTTGTGCTTGGTAAGACCTTGAATCATCACCAAACTCGTCATCAAAGAGAGTTTACGGCCAGGAGTTTACACCTTGGCCGTAAACCCTTGTAGTTGTCATGATTTGGACCTTAAACACATCTAGACCTTTACTAACCATTGGAACTCTTGAGCCTTTGAAACACCTTCCCTTTGAGACCAAATAAGACACCGTTTAGAGTGTTTACGGCCATAGGGTTTATGGTATGGCCGTAAACACCTCAACACCCTCCAAAACATTGGTTTTGCTCATCCTTGTAAATAGCAATGATCCCTCAAGTTTCCCTAGCATTCAAACACCCTCTTATGCACATTACCATGAGTTTACGGCCATGAGTTTACACCCTGGCCGTAATCACCCTTTCATGGCTGTGAACACAAACCCTTGGCCTTAAACATCCCTTAGATGAATCACATGTGATTCCAACACTTGGTCAAAGTGTTTCCTAGTCCCGGAAGGTGTTTCCTTTCATATAGTTTCTTATAAACACTATATTCATGCCAATATATGTCATTATATGTCATTTAGGACTTGTTGTATCTCGAGACTTCATTCGTGGAACTTCTCATCCTTACGCGCATATTCGTTTGAATCACCCACATAAGGTGAGTTCATACCCCGTAATCAATCTTTTAAACTACTTTAAATGCTTTTAAGGGGGGGAATACAAGTTGAACATAATGATAATTGTGTAATTGTTTGTTATAAAAATTTTCAAAATATTACTTATGTCATTTATAAGTTGTCAAAACATTTCAAAAACTCTTTTCAAGTTATGTTACTTTATAGTTTAACAAAACTCCGTTTTTAACGAAACTCGAAATTTTAGTTTTTTTTTCTTTGTTCACTTTTTTTTAGGTGGAAAGGAGGTAGAATTATTTTTTTGTATGTTGTTGTTTATTATATTTAAATGGGTAAAAACCGTCATAGTTCTTGAATGTTTTAGTACCATGACCATTCCTAATGAACTGAGCAGAATTCGTGTTTTGAATAACTTTGGTGTTGTTGGGCTTCAAACACAAATCATCAGAATGGTGACTCTTTTCCAAACACAAGAAGGCCTTGCTGGAATGTTTTGTAAAATTGAGAAATTAGTTTTATAACATATATTTACATGATGTGAAATATAAAATATGATTTTATTTATTTATCAATTTATTGTCATTTAGTTTTGCAATTGGACACATTTTTGAATGCCTCATTGATATTGGAATGTAATGACTCATTCCAATTCCATGGTCCAATTTCATCATGTTATCACGCCATAATCTGTCATGGTAAGTTTTAGATGTTTTGTGGTTTGGAAGAACTAATGTGTCAAAACCGTAGACTTAAACATGGAGCAAAAAGATTATGAAGATGAAGGACTTCCACCTGGATGGGATAACACATATCAACTAAAAGAAGAAGTGGAACATATGCTTACACCACAACTGTTTCAGCAATTTCATCAGGTGGTGGAATTTGGCATATATCAACCAAAATAAGGCAATGTACTTTCATTTTAATGTTTAGTTTTCTGTAATTTGGATCATCAAAATACAAAATACCAATGTACATTCATTTTTTTACCGTGTTTGCAAATGGACGAATTGCAGAGAATAGCAACATATTTTATTGTGGCTACCAATTAAGTCGATGTATTATAGTTGCACACAAAAACAGCACCTTCCAACCCCGCAACGCGGGGGGAACACATCTAGTTAACTATGAATTGGATATCAAATTTGACATAGAGTACTGTATCAATTTGACAAACACTGTTGTATCAGTTTGACTTAGGTTGCTGTGATTTAATTAGTATTTAAATGGATAAATCAGTTTTAGTAAAAAGAGAAAGAATTTAACCTTTATGTAAAAGGAAGTGGGGGACCAACAATAGAACGCATGGAGTACTTGGTTGACCAACTTTTCTTTTTCTTTTTTTTAATTGGACATGGATTCAGAAGAAAATGAAATGGATAGAAGCGGACCTACCAAAGTACCAATCCAACCTGGAAAATCTCCAACTGGATTCTAAGCGGGGCCCAACAAACCTTCTTTTAAATCCATATATAACAAATAAAATCATCATATTATAATCAGATTAATATAATTTAAAAATATACATATACATAATGATTATCCGCATAGTCAGAGTCAGATCCTTGGTTATGTAAGTTGTAACATGTTATAGTGTTATACGCCAAGTGTAGCCAATAAAATAAAGATTAACATTTTATTTTTCTTTATAAATCTTGATATTTTATCTAATGGTTATCTCTATACCTTCTAAATAACTTTTTTTTTTCTTTCTTTCTATATTATGATTTCAAATTTCAAATAAGATGGAAATTATATACACTCCACGGCAAGGCATTCCCACATTTCACTAGGTTGCGTGTTACCACTTACCACAAAACTTGATCATTCTTTTAAGTTGATCCAAAATGTTACTGGAGCAGTCTATAAGTTGGAGATGTTAAAATTGCATTAAAATTTTGTAAAATACATCAACTTTTATTCTTGGGTTTAAAAATGTACATAGCCAAATACAAATACATAGATGATGATGATAATGATGTTTTCACAAACTCATGGCTCTTGATGTGACCTCCAAATCCCCTTCCATAGTACCACCCTTATTCCCTTGTGTTGCTTCCTAAAATCCATCATCCAAAATTAAGTTCAATCAAACACTAAAACTTGAGACTTAATGGGGAAAGTTGAAAATTTCCCGACTTTGCCTATTAATACATTCTTCATGCATTAAGTCAAAAAAACTGTGCGAATGAAACTAGATGACCATTTATCCTTCTATTCTAAAAACAAATTCCACAATATTTCATCAATTTCATTAAATATCATAAGTTTTAACATGAGAAACAAAAGCGGAGGCAAATAGGTAACGGGTTTGTGTTTGGTTTTTTGGCTTAACCCATTAAGTCATGATGTCCATATTAAGTATTCAACTCATTAAGCTCATTAAGTCAAAAAGAAACAACACCTTAATGCACAAAGAACAACCATATCGAAAAACTGTCAAATTTTACAAATTTGCCCTTGTTTTTTTTTTTTTTTTTTTTTTTTTTTTTTTTTTTTTCTAAGTGGTTAAAGGTATTGAAATGAAGGAAGAAGAATATACCAATGGATGTGTTGAATTTAGATTATTGAGGTATTTTTGTAATGCATTAATTCCATAAAGAATCTTTGCACCAGTTCCTGGTTGTTCTTCTGATCCTATAGCCTCTTCATCAACCACCACTGCATCAACAAAATCAGCTCCTTGGTGGGGAGGATTTGGAACCTATAATTTCCCACAAAGTGTTTAAAAAGATAAATTAAGTCAAGTACAAAAGGGTGGAATTATTTTTATAAAAGAAAAATAAAATACCTCAAACATTGAATCCACCAGAATATTTTCTAAAATGGCTCTTAGACCACGTGCACCCGTGTTCTTGGCAATTGCTTTTTTTGCAATTAATCTTAGTGCAGTATCAGTAAAATGTAACTTCACCTGAAATACAAAACGGAATCAAGTAGAACCATTATTTTTTTTTTTATTCTATTTTTTACTAGGAAATGTGAAAAAATTATTATTATTATTATTTTTACATTGTTCATGGCGAACATCCTTTTGTACTGCTTTCCAAGAGCATTTTTTGGCTCTGTTAGAACCTGTCAATAATAAATTTACAGAAAAATAAAAATAAAAATATGGAGTTATGTAATAAACAAATAAATGAAAGTAGGTTGCTATTTCTTGCAACTAGCTGAATATAAACCTGAAGAAGTTGATCTTCATATAGAGCTGATGAACTGACTAGAATAGGAAATCGACCGATAAACTCGGGTATCAAACCATATGCAACAAGGTCACCACTTTCTACCTACAATTTTAAAATACAAATTTTCACAACAACTGATTACTTAAAATGTTTATAATGTGAATAAAATGTTAAAATTGCTACTCACAGATTCCAACAATGAAGATGTAACCACAGCATTGGTTAATCCACCACCTCTCATATTAGCCCTCACTGGAGCACCAAACCCAATAGATGAATCTTGTCGTCTGGGGCAAAATAGTAAAATGTTCAAAAAAAAAAAAATCCATAGATGAATATATTAAAACAATTCATGAGTATATTATTTATAGTTTTATACCTCTCAGAAATGGTTTTCTCCAGATCAACAAACGCCCCACCACATATAAAAAGGATATCTTTTGTATCCACCTGCAAATATTCCAATCAACATGAATTACTAATCAGTATTTTAAAGAAAGGGTAAATTAGACATTAGCCATTAAGGTAAATAAAAGACCTGAATGCCATCACCCTGAGGCTGCTTTCGAGCTCGATTATCAGGAACATTAACAATCTGAAAAATAAACAATCAAATTTTATAAAGTTGAGAACTTTAAATAATAAAAAATCAATAATGTACATATGAATCAATACAACTCACAGTTCCTTCAAGCATTTTGAGCAATGCTTGTTGAACCCCTTCACCAGATACATCTCTGCCACTATTTAAACTTTCAGCCTGCATATATATATTTATAACTTTTAACCGAAAAACATAAATAAAAATCTATGTTTTCTTCCATGAATGCAAAGAACACAAGACCTTTTTAGTTATCTTATCAACTTCATCTATGTACACAATTCCTTGTTGAGCTGCTTCCACATTGAAGTCAGCAGCCTGAATCCAGTCAACCAAAATACACCAAATGGTCAACAGGTATATGCATAAAGTCAATGTTGATCAAAACTAGATACTTATAACTTACCACAAGAAGCTTATACAATATTGATTCCACATCTTCTCCAACATAACCTGCCTACAGAAGAGAGTAATGAAATATCAAGAAACTGATGTATACATACAAACATACATAAATTTTGTATCTGATGTAAGGTACAACTTATATCAAACCTGCCTGTGTCAAAGTAGTAGCATCAGCAATAACAAAAGGAACATTCACTACTCGAGCTAAGGTCTTTGCAAGTAATGTCTTCCCTGTCCTTTCAGTCAAATTCATGATATAACAATCAAAATAAAAGGATTTTGAATATGATAAACAAAAGAGAATCAAGAAATAAGTGAAAACCTGAGCCAGTTGGACCCATTAACAGAACATTGCTCTTATCTAACTCAACATGATCGACATCTTGGTTTTCAGTTTCTTGATTTGTATGCATAGAGGCGTGATAAATTCTCTTGTAGTGGTTATAAACAGCAACTGAAAGCACCTGTTAGATTGTCCATATTGCATAAACGTTACAATACAGAAATCAAAAAGATAAATCGTTTCAATTGATACAGCTCTACTGTAAACGTTACAAACTGATGCCCCATGATAGTTAGTAAAACACAAACCTTTTTAGCCTGTTCTTGCCCAATTACAAACTCATTAAGGCCTCTGCATATCTCCTTTGGTGTCGGCAATTCTATCCCAAACTTTGATCCACCCGACCACCCATTGTTACCCTGTCCATCGCCACCACACTCTTCACGCTTCTCTTGGTCCCCCACCGCCACACCACCAGCATCCACCGTCGGACCATCTACTGTATCCCCACCACCGTAAGACCTTAACTTCTCCCACATTTTAACGCCTACTTTCCTGTTTTCGTCACCATCATTAGCAGCATTAGCAATAGTTCCCACATCTCCCTCCTTCCCGGCTCTAATCCTTCCAATTTCAATAAAGCTCCCTTGAAGAAGCGGGTCTATCTTAAACGGCCGGAAATAATAAGCAGTTCTGCAGTTACGGCACATGTTAAGGGCATGGTAGATGCCAGTATCGGAAGTGATCGATAGAGGGCGGTTTGAAAAAAGTAGGGTCATGAGTTGGGAACATCTAGGGCAGTTAACTTGGGCTTTAATATGATCATAATTGTCGGAACTTCCTTCCCATTTATGGCGATTTTGTTGAAACCCTAAAAGTCGAAACTTGAAATAGTTTGATTGATGCAGTTGTGGTGGTGGTATGAGGAGGTTTAGTGGAGTATGGTGGTGATAGGTTGAGGATGATGAAAACGAAATTGCTCTGATATGCTTACTAAGAATCTTGGATTTCCACCTCAACATCGAGGACATGGCTACTCTGCCTCTTTCTCCAAAGCATACAAAACATAAATTCCGAGCAAACGAAGCAATGACTGTGTGAGTGTGTGTGTGTGTGTGTGTGAGAGAGAGAGTCCAGACGGCGATGTTATATCTAAATCAATACCGAAGTTATCCAATAAAAGGAAGTAGGAAAAACAGCTTGCAAAAGATCAAATAAAAGAAAGTTGGTAAAACTGCTTGACAAAAAATGATAGTAGAATATTTGGTCCCAAAAATGGATTTAAAAATAATAGAGTATGAAAAAAAAATAGAATATGAAGAAAATTATATAAAATTGACTAATAGAAGTTAATACAAATTATGTTTAGGAAATCTATTGTCGATATTATATATTGAATACATAAATAAATGTAATGTACAACACAACATGATATTAATAACATACATCAACCTTAAAGGCCCCAACTATACTAGGTTTTAGGGGTCTGTCAAGAAACTAAAACCTAATAACAAAAAAATTGGAGATTCCAACCGTTAAAAAAGGTACAATAAGTGACGTACAAATTACATAATCTATCTTTTATATGGTCCCTTTTTTTTTTCCTTTCATGTAGAAATACAGAATTAAGTACTTATATGGCTTGGGTTGTATACCTTTTCTTATATATTTTGGTTTTTGTGATTCAGGTGGTTTATTAGTTAAGAACTTGACAACATGACAAAAGAATGTCTTTAGTAAATGATGATGATAATGATAAAACTATGTACTCACATTCTTCACTGAATGTTACATGAATGGTGATTGACATGTTACTAAAGAGTTGTAATGAAGAAGACAAAGCAGTTGTGGATTTATTTATGAATTTACTTGATGTACTTATTTATTTATTTGTTTGTTTTAGTTTGAACAAAATGGTTACCAAAGAGTTGAAGTGAAGATGAACATAGGAAAAGAAATGACGAAGACATATGGTAACAAACAACAAACACATTGATTCTTCAAATGACAGATAGATCCAAAGGTCTTGAAGCACGCAGCAAGAAAATTATACATAACATGCTATATCAAATCATTGTCATATGAATAAGAGAAATGCTTTTATTTAAACAAGTAATTAGATTGGATAGGATTGAGTATTCCTAATCATGTATGCATAGCTTCCCTTCACAAATCACAATCACAGCACCTGAAAAATATACAGAAAAACATCACTTCCAAATCAATAACCAAATCCAGTTGTTCATCATCAAATAACTTGCTGTATTTCAATCTTTTTTCAAAACCAGATAATGATTTAATCACTTTGGCGCAAATTGTGTTTTATGTATTTTGTCCAAATTAACCTTTCTCCAAACTCCAAATGCCATCAAATATAATCCTTCATTTATGATCTATCGACTTTTTTACTCAACAACTTGACATAAATCACAAACATATGACCTATCTACCTAGCTTTGAATTATATAACAGACAAGTGTTATAAAGACTAAAAATAAAGGAGGGTAAAATCCAGGCTTCAACCTCATACTTATCAATTCACACCTTCATACATACAATACTCAATTACATTAACAATGATATGGTTTTGCAATGAATTCTTGTAATGATCTTACTTACGGATAAAGGAGAAACCCAAAAGTCAAAGACTTGATGGCTTAAAACAAGAACCCAAACTTTGGGGATTCACATTGTTTTCAAGATTCAGTTTATTTTTCTTGAACACATATGCAGCATGAATTGAGTTTGTTTGTATGATCTCTCAAAGTACAAGAAATTCAAGCTATATGGGTTGGAAAGATTGGGTAAATACGTAAAATTTCAATTCAACCATTGATAATACGCTGGAGCTATTTAAGAACAAAAACATAGATTTTGGCATAATTCAAAATATCTTTAAGTAGCATTTGATGATACAAATAGATTTATAATCGGGAGTGTCAAAACGCCCAATTTAGGAAATTGCACACATTCACGTTGCAGCGGAAACAAGAAGAAAAATAACCTAAGACTGAAAAAGGGGAAGAAATGAAATTTGACTCACAATCACAATCACAATCACGAATCTCAGTGAGAATGCGAAGGTGAAGAAGATGCAGCAGGGTGGTGAGATTGGGAGTGCGAAGGAGCGTAGATCTTGTTGTAAGCAGTTTCACCAACGAGATAGACGCCGAAGGCGACCAGGGCTATCCCGAGCCCAGGAGTTGCGTGACGAAACTGATTTGTGAGCATCGGATGCTTCCTCCATTCATCCCTTCGCCTGAAGAACTCTCCGGTTGGTCCTAATGTCTTCCCCATCGTCGTCGATTGATCTGTGTCGCCGCCCCGGTATGTTGCCTTGTTTGCGTTGCCCCAATGGATACGAATGGCTGACTTCGGCCTTTACTTGGGCCTTACACACTCAAAGCCCATAAACAGATTGTTATCGATCGATTCGATACCCCAATAACCCGACCCGAAGGAAATGATTATACCCGGATCGCCATATCCAGATTTTCACAAGATGCTGCTCTTCAAGTTTTAACAAGAATGGCATCTTATTGTTGTCTCTCTTCACCGGTTTCAGGGGCGAACAAGAGGTGGTCAGCGGTGTTGCAGAGAGAAAGGGATGACGATTCTTCAAGTTATGTCTTCCGTCATTTCACCTTCCTCTCAGGTTCCCCTATCTCAAAGTCAAATTCCATCCAACTCCATCTACCTATCGTCAGTTCACCACTGCCAGCATCCTCGATTCTTATCTCCTTGCTCGTTAAGTACGAGAAATTCCACTTCCCCTAGACGCCGTTCAATTATTAGAAGCTATACAATCAATTGCTCCGCTCATAATTCTGCTAGCATTACAAACCAGGTGAGCGAGCTTCGACAATAATGAATTCTTAGTTACTTTTAAGAATCTATATGCAAGTATTGTTAGCTAGAGCTTAGGAAGTTGAAATTGGAGCCATTTTGTATCAAATCACAAACGAGGTTTACTAAGAATCGAATCAGTATTGGGTTTGACAAATGATTTCGTCTAGCAACATCAATTTGATCTCGTAATGTTGCTGGAATTGGAGCTAAATCAGTTGAAATTTTATAGACTAACATAAGTGATCATATATTCCAAATTTCCAATTCCCAACCTCAAAATCAAATGCTTCGAAACACCAAGTAATTGGTCAAGTGGATTTGATTACTATTTTGCAGAGCAGTGAATTTGTTAAAGAGAAAAGTGTCTCCGTGGTTCTTCTAGCTGGAGGGAAGGGAAAACGAATGGGTGTAAGTCTCTCTCAATCCTGTTCCCACTGATGATACAAACATAATCAAATTCTTATCTTTGAGTTTACAACTTTGTTCAAATTTCAACATTTGGATCACTGAGCTCCTCATATATTTTGGCAAGTGGCATTGGTCTCTCATGATGATGACTGTTTGTTTGACTTTGATCTTGTTTTGTGAGTAGGCAAGCATGCCAAAGCAGTATCTTCCACTTTTAGGGCAACCAATTGCTTTGTATAGGTAATTTGGTAACTATCACTTCTTGTCATATTTGGATTTTGGAGCACCTAAAAATCAAAATAGTATTACTATTTTGGTAGTTTCAAAGAAGGGTTAAATGCTTTTTTATGCAACAATGTCACATTTTCCCTGATTTATGCAATAATAAAGTGGTTAAATGCTTCATTTGTTTTGGTAGTTTCTACACTTTCTCACGGATGCCAGAGGTTAAAGAAATCATTGTAGTTTGTGATCCATCTTACCAGGATATTTTTGAAGGTCTGAAAACATGTTTTCAGAAATACATTTTGATCTTTTATCACACACAAAAGAAGCTCATTATTCTTTTTTCTTATCAGATGCTAGACAGAAAGTCAATGTTGACCTGAAATTTGCATTGCCTGGAAAAGAAAGACAAGATTCTGTGTTCAGTGGACTTCAGGTTCATTCTCATCTCTCATAATGTTTACTCATGCATAACTTATTAATAATTATTTGTTTTAATCATTTTTATAGTTGAGAATAATTACATGTTATTAATAGCATGAAACACAAAAGAAGCTCATTTTTTTTTCTTTTTTGTAAACAGGCAATTGATTTGAATTCTGAACTTGTATGCATCCATGATTCAGCAAGACCTTTGGTAACTTCTAGTGATGTACAAAAGGTTTGTTATCCAATTTACCTTTTCCATCTCCACATAAATTTTAAAAAGTAAAAAAAAATGTTACATAAATAAATATCTAACAGGTGTCATGTCAGTTGTATAAATTGGTAAAAAAGTGAAACATTCTTGTAAATTGACAGGTTCTAAATGATGGTTTGCATGTTGGAGCTTCAGTACTTGGTGTTCCTGCTAAAGCAACTATCAAAGAGGTAGTATTATATACTAAATACAAAAATAAAAATAAAAATTAATTCATTTACCTAAAGTTTTTATACTTTTTATTTTGGGTACATTACAAATAGTTGTTGGTAATTTTTTTTTCTTAAAAAAATATATATATGCAGGTAAATAGCGAATCTTTTGTAGTGAAGACTTTGGACAGAAAAACACTTTGGGAAATGCAAACTCCACAGGTTTAATTATATAATTTATATTTATCTAATATATATATGCACACAATTAAAAAGTCAGCATTTTGACCATTTCAATTTTCTATTTCTCCTTGATGTGATTTCAATCTTTTTTTTTTAGGTCATCAAGCCTGAGTTGTTGAAGAAAGGTTTTGAGCTTGTAAATAGGTACCACATTCATTTTCATTTTGTTTGTTTAATATAAAAGAAGAGAATTCTTGTTCTCATTTAATTGTTGTTCTAAATTATTCATAATATATTAGTAAGGGATTGATTCCCTATTTTTAATTTTTGGGTACACAACAGAGAAGGCCTTGAAGTCACGGATGATGTGTCAATTGTTGAGCATCTCAAACATCCTGTGTACATCACAGAAGGATCTTATACTAACATCAAGGTAGTTTATCATTAGTAATTCATTTAATAGTGTATTATAATTAATTTATAGACAAAAAAAAAAAAAAAATCTATATCAAGAATATGAATATTTATAGATGGATGTACACATTGCAGGTTACAACTCCCGACGATCTATTACTTGCTGAAAGAATATTAAATACCGCCTCATTTGTGACAGCTTAACAATTCTACTGTAAATGTTATGACATGACATGCATACAACATAGGAACGTTATTAAACACATTTTAATCCATGTATTAATCAAAACCCTTTTCTCTATATAATCCTACTAGTGTATGAATATTCCTTGTCCATATTGAATATATACTTTTTACAAGGTTTAATTAGATTTTAGCTTTTAAAAGAGAGATCGAATTAAAGGAAAAGCTTCTTACGAGTTTAAAGTTTGTATTTTAAGCAAAAAGTTGTTAATCTAAAAAAGCTATTTCAACTAGCTTTTGAGAGCTTTTATGTTTTATATCATTTTTACACTTTTCAAAAGTTTGCAACTACTTTTCCTGAACAATTATATACAAATAAAATATATCCTTGTATTTTAGTCCTCTGAATTGTTAAATTAGGTTTTTTAAACCACTATTAGGTGTTGATTTGCTTAAATTATGTAATCTGTTTTCTAGTTCATTGCTAGTTTCTTAGTGAAAATTCAGTTGTTAAAAGAAAAACATATTTGAACGAAAGAAAGATATAGAAACTCCATGAATTTACGTGGAACACATTAAGATATAAGTGTAGCAATATCAAGGGAGATTGAAATGAAATTGTATGATGTTCTTACCAAGAAAATGAAGGTGAACCGATAACATGTAAATTTGTTTGTTTTGCATATGAAGAAGAATGTTTTTGTTCCAAATTTGTTTATTTGTTAGTTACAATCATTTCTTAGGTAAAAGGTTTTTAAGAAAAAAAATGATCCTTCCTTTTAAATGATATCAAGCACTACCACAAATGCAGTTTTATATATGTTTTTTTGCGCATATTTACACCTTTTTTTGGCAGCCAAAATTTTATACAACGAGCAAGATGCTAAACTAAAATTATGTTCAACAATATCTACAAACTAAAAAGTGTGTAGAATCATTAACTTACACGAAAATATGTGTCATAACAAATTGTTTTCAAGTCTCCATGTATTTTAAAAGGGCTAATTAAATGTTTAACACATCAACTTTTGATTTCTAATCATATAAAATAAAGAAAAAAGTTTTACATAGACTTAGCGGCTAAACGAGCAACAAGCTGTGTCGCAACCCCTTTTTGGATGGAGTCATAACATTACTATGCATGACCCGTTGGAATCTATTGAGTAGCTCCACAGCTTCTGACGCAAGGAAACTAAAAGTATCAAATGCAAAGGGTATAAACGTGTGTTGATTTGTATAAGCCCCAACCTAATTTTAGATAGCTATTATTTTTGAAAGATAAATAATATTGAAAATATAATTGTAAAGTTCATGATTTTTTTAATAGAAATAAGACGTATTTTGTAAGATAGTTATTTGAAAATCTATGTTGGGGGTACTAATCGTAACAAAGGGCCAAAGTGATGTGGTAGGAGTCGATTTATATTTGGAAAAGTTTAATGCGGCTTCGATATTTGAAGAAATGGCTTTGCATAGAGATGCGTAAATCTGTTTTTCAAACCGAACCACACAAATTCTGAAAATTGATTCCGGTTTTTCGGCAAACAAGTTTAAGGAGAAAACATGTTGTGATTAAAAATTCCCGAACCCATAGGACCCGTTTGGAATCGCTTGAAAACCAGTTTGCAAAACTTATGTTTTTGACACTTTTTTCCGTATTTTGCTGAATTTGATTTCGGTGTAGGAATTTAACGAAAGTTTCATTGTTTGTCAGAAACAATTCAGTAAGCAAAATTCCCTGCTTTGACACTTTTTCTAACCCACCAATCCGCACCCACCAACCCGTTCATTATACAAGTCATGTTCGAGTTTGCAAATAATTTTGTTGGTTGACCTGTGAACCCATTTATTTTTTAGCTTAAAAATATATTTATTAAATAAAAGAAAGAGTAAGGACTAATAAGTAAATATATGATATTTTGACTTTTTTTTTCTGTGGCCCATGTATTGGTGTTTTTAGGTTATGATAGCAATGTACTTGCGGAATTTCACATAACAATTATGGGTACATGCAATCTAAAACAAGATCTATGGTTTTTCACTATTAATAGCAACATACTTTACGAAACAAAGCTAATATTCTACTATAATCGAAATTACTAGTAAGAAAACATACCTTTAACATAATCAAATATGTTCATTTCTTGAGTTCTTTGAATGGTCTATGGAAAGCAAGCGCCAAAAGTATGCATGCCTCTAATGGTTCACATCCAAAACCCTAAGACATTAGAAAGACAAGAGGAGAGAGGATGAAGGAAGAGAATTTCATTCTCCACCTTCTAGGTATGAGAAGTCACGAAAATATGATGCATAAGGGTCCTATTTATAGTTTAGGTAACTTGCACATCAATCTAGATTTGAATAATTAAATAATAGATTTAATCCCCAATTCAAATCATTTCCTTATCTGCAACCAAGAGACTTTCAGAAACCCTAGAAGCTCCCTTAAAACCGTCCCTACTATGGGAAGTTCTAGAATTGCCTCATTTGTTCAAATATTGAACAATTACAATTCACCGCTTGCACATTTAATTAATTCCAATTAATCCCAAATTAATTTCGGATTAATTCAGATTAATAATTATTAATTTAATTTATTTCTAATTCATTCAAAATTAGTTATTAACTATTTCTAATTAATATATTAATCATATAGTATATTAAAAAATCATTTTATCTCTCTCCTAATATCAGTTCTAGCTATTTCTGGTTATGAGGGTAACCCAAAAAAGATTTTACTTTTATTCCATAAAGTTATATCAATTTAGTCATAACATTGACCAATTTAGTTATGACCTTGCATATTTATTCTAACAGTCCCCCACTTGGATAAGTCATCAAACTATAATTGCAAATATAGACTTTGAATAACCGGTAAATAGTGCTTTCCACAGCCATTGTTGAACTCTGATTAAATTAAATGTTTAGCCCTAAGATAAATGATAAACTATACATTCGTTCTTCAAGATATCTTATGGACATGAGACATGGATTGAAATCAATCTCATGGTCCAAGATTTTGTTTCTAAATTTCTGATTTATGACGACTGAATTCAGACTACTAATTGAACACATCAATTTAGTCCAGGCTTAGGCAAACACTTCAGATGTCAGCAACAAATCATTGAGTGGCCTAAATGTATCACTTTTCTTGTTAAGACAAAAGGAACGAATAAACTTTGACTATATAATCATTCTTTTTACTCATCATGTCATACATGAAATTACACTTTATGACATCTAGTTACGAACGTGTTGATGCAAAACCAATGCACAATAGACTTGAAAACTATGATTTATATATCTCCGCTTTAAGAATAGAAGATTTTATTGTCTTAAAATTACTTGCGATTGAATCCATGAATTAATCTCTAAGGGTGGGTTTGACCAATACTTAAAATCCCTATTTTCCAAGTACTCATGAATATTGCAGTAATCCCTATGCAATGTCCAATCACCATGAACAATCTACAAATATTTCATGACAATTTTAAATCAATACTTACTCCCAAAAGTATGATTGACTGTGGCATTTCGAATACATTAAGATTCAGGAAGTAACACGCAAAATGAAACACAAGAATAAGCTCATTGTTCTATGGCATCATACTCTTTGAAAATAAATAATTCCCTATTATTTAATTACCATAACAATTACAAATTTATCTGTTGTGTTAAATATTCCGGGATAATCGACTTAATGACTAAACTTGTCAACATTTCTCATGCCAATCATGTATATCATGTTTTCCTTTGATCATCATTATTGTGAACGAATCATCGAAAAGATATTTACTTCACAACTAGATCTCCATACTCAACATTTTCTCGGATGTAGTAGAATTTCCTCCTTCTATGCATTGACCTTCTGTGATCTCAAGAATCCTTAGTCAATATAACTGTACTTTCATAGAATATTTCTAATGGCAATTTGTTACTCAAAACGAATCCAAGTTCAACTATGAAGTTTCTTAGTTTAGGTACGCTCCTTAGATACTTCACTTGCACTAATGTGGTCTTACCCACATTGTCGATTCTACCTCCATCTCTTATTTGAAACCGTTCATGCTATAACTCAAAATGAATATCCATTTAGACTATGACTCAAAGCCATATCTAGAATTCATGTCACTATAACTCTTCTTAATCATGCTCTCTACTGTCTACAAGCAACCATTCCTTGGTATCTTACAATACCTCAGAATGTTCTTGACAATTATGTAGCAATTCAGTCGAGCTAACTTCTGATCCAATCTTATGATGCTCAAAACATCAGCACACGTCATAACATTCATGATCAATCATATATCTGAAGCATACGAGACTCGGATAATTCTATTTTCATGACCATAACAAGAGGAGTTTTGAGATTCACTTGACTCCTTGCTATGATGCATATAAAAAATTCCCTTGAGCAGTATTGTCATCAACATGCAATAATAGGAGCAGTTCCCGAGCTTTTACACCTTTCAACTTAGGGACAATGTTTCCTATGAGTAGTATTGTCATCAACATGCAATACTAGGAAGACGACGACACTCCCACTAGCTTTGACATGTACTCAAGACTCATCTAGACCTCTATAAACGCAACATTCTTTGACTTCCTCATGGAAGAACTAATTCTTGCTACACGATGCACGTCTAAATCTATGAATAGATTTCTCAAGCCTACACACCTTGTTTGGATACTTTGTATGTTTAAATCCTTCCAGGACATGTCACATACCCCTCGAAAGTTTCCTATTAAGGAAATTCATTTAAGCATCCACTTTACCATATCTTATATCAAAAAAGGAAAATATGGTAACAAATAACCAAATAGACCTTTCTTAGTTACTGGTGAGAATGTTTCCTCATAACCAATTTCTTGAGTTTAAGCGAAACTCTACTCCACCATACTAGCCTTGAATGTGTGTGTATTCCTATCCATGTTATTCTTCACATTGAAGATCTAATCGTAACCCAATGTCATAAGGCTAGGCATTGGATCAACCAATTTCAAACTTGGTTATCCTTCATGGACAGAATTTCGCAATCCTTAGTCTCTTCTCACTGGAAGCCATAGGACCCACCATTGATTCCTAGTAGCTACTAAGCTTATCCAAATTGATTAGTGTTTTATCACTAATCAACATAAATCCTTCCACGGT